AGAGCAAACAATAAGACCTAATTATATTACTTACAAATGAAAACAAGAAGAATGTGTTGAATACTTTTCTGAATAAAAATCAAAGTCAAAATATTATCAAAATTATGTTTAAATGGTCTAAATGTCCATATTGGCAACCAATACTCACCAGCCATCTTGATTTTTTCTTGTCTTAATAAATGTACTTCCATTCAGTTTTATGAGAATTTAATATCCTATAAATCCAATTGTAGCCAGTAGATAAGTCAATATGTAGTTTATATTAATAAAAACAATATAAACAGCTGTCAGGTATGTAAGTTCAATTAAATGTGATAGAGATCTGTGTGAATAGGATTTACAATACTGTCAAATCTATTTGAAACTGTATTACATTTACTTGCTTGACACACTATTAACAACAGTACACATTACTATGTTCATGTAAGGATATGTTGTCCAACAATTTGGTACAGATGAATTCCACAACTACAATGTAAACCCACAGGCGGTCAAACTCAAATTCGCCGACCTTCCAAATATAACTCCACCAACAATTCCAAGACGAAAGTATAAAATTCTTGATATTCCAATCACCAAGAAATCATTACATTTTCTCCCTTACATGAAACCATCAATGGAAGGCGATAGAGGGCATCTCTACTTCTATATAAGGAAAACCTGCGCAAGCTTCACCATGGCTCCCAGAGAAATAATCAATAAGCTGATTTTCTCCTCACACAGTTACCCCAATAGTTTCTGCCAGTCAGCCATCTTTATTATTGATTTTTTCCACCAAGGATGGGAATTGCCAAAGAAATAGGATGTCACAAGGCTTAGGAAGAACAATAGGTCAACATAGAGTCCATGTAGAAAGAGCTATTGAAATTTCAAACAAATAACCAATAATGTACACTAACTGATTGGACTACTGCACGCCTCATAGAACACAATACATAAAGATAATTACTCCTAATACACTCAGTTACCCAAATCATTTACTATATCAAATAGTATTTTATCTATGTATATATATACTGACTAATATTATTGTGTAATTACATATCATCGTAGGCCTCTAAGCTTCCCAAACAGTTAATATCAATTTTTCTTTCTTAATGTTCTGTAACCTAAATCATTTACCATATTAAATAGTATTTTATACATGTATACATAGGCTACATGTATGTGCAATGCCTATTGTATACAGTGTACCTGACATATCACTGTGTAATTACATATCATGAGAAGGCCTCTAAGCTTCACATACAATTAGTATAAATATTTCTTTCTTAATGTGCTGTAATCTTCATATTTGTAATTACATATGATGTTATCTTTTCAACACTAAGATGGCAAGTGCTAAAGGGCTTTCCATTTTCACAACACTAGCTATTATTTTGTATACTTAATACTGTCCAAAGAAATGAAATGAAATGGGGTTTAATGTCCTACTGTTCGCTCCGAATTGGGCTAATGAAGACCGGCATACGCCATACAGTATGCTACGAGGGAAATATAGCCCAACAGCAGCCTACTCTTACATCGAATTCCAACTGTCAAGGGATCTTTTATGTGCATGCCAATGCATCACTGACAAGGGGGAACCACAGCCCAAAATCTGGATGAACTTTCTCGGCCAATGCAGGGATCGAACACCCGAACTCCAGGCTAGCGAGCCAGGGTCTTACCCAGAGTGATCCTCTACTGTCAAAAGAGAGATGGTGGTAAAATACATGTATGATCAAAACTATCCAGGTAATTTGGGGATTGAAATAAGGCAAGCTTATATTTTTTATTTCAACAATTCACTTGGACATCCAGTTCAAATGTGTGTAGGGCATAGTGGTCTTTAGAAGTGGGAGAAAACCGAAGGACTCAGAGAAAACCCACTACTTGTAGGATAGCATACTTTGGCTATTTTAAACAATAGAGATTAGCAATTTTAAAGAAAAGTTTGCACTTGAGAATGAAACCTACTTGTTTACATGTATGTCTAATGATGTCAACAATAATAAACTGTAGTGTAAGTCTATGTGAAAGAAAATAACATTCACTAAAAAGAATGTGCACGAAATAATAAAATCACTAAAATAATGTGCAATGCAATCATCACTTCAAATCATCCAAACAGTTTTCAGAGATTAAAACAAGTTAAGTGACATTGGATGGTTATAAAAAAATTCAAACCAATGCAGACATCTTTTTAATTTGTACAAAGACTGTGACGAAGTAACTCCTTATTTAAGATACATTGTCCCAAAAGTATTTATTGGGTGGTTATTTACAATAAAAGTATGGCAAATTTGGTATATACAGTATGAAAACTATAGACACCCAATCTTACTAGAAAAATACTGGATTACCCCAAAAATACCCATGGGACAAGCACTGGGCAAAATGTCAAGGTATCACTAACTAGCAACCTGACTGTTGTCTGCCAGCTTATTGTGTGCTAGCTTGAATGAAGGAGCGGTTGTTATTTCTTGATCAAATGGTTAGACGGTTTTGGGAACATCGAGGGGTGTCAACGTACAAAAGACTCTGCAATTAAACAGCGGAAAAAGAAGTTGACAGAAAATAATAAATAATTTACTTAAGCTTCAATATGTATGATAAATAGACAGTACATGTACGTAATGAAAAATACATTCTGAAAAATGAACCCTCCCACAATGAACTGAGGTGACAGACATGGTGTCTAACAACATTTTATTTATAGCATGTGGTATCTCCCCAAGAAAACAAAGTTTTGACAGGGATTTGAAGCAGATTTTTTATAGATTAATTAGTTTGAATATGTTATTAGTCCAAATATATCATCAAATCACACAGTTTGTACGTGGGAAAGTATCTTTAAAAGTACAGTAAATGAGTGGAAGAATGGGTGGAAGAATCACTGACACAGTGCAGACAAGATCAGATCTCAGTGATACAGTTGGGGATAAAAGGAAATCATCTTCACAAAATAATAATGCATAAGTTGCTTGCTGATTATAACCCAAACCAGGGATGGCCAACATGAAACATACATGTAGGATGATTTGATGTGATGAATTGCATTTATTTATGTCGAAAGAAATGTTGACTTTTGTTCATTGAAGTAGATGGAGTTACAATTTTACAAGAGCTGTATGGCACATCCAAATTATTGTGTGAACAAATTGGTGCACTGTGTGTAAAAGGTTGCCAACCCATGAGTTTGGTCCTTCTTGAAACTATTAATTTGCCTTGGGTTGCATTATGAACATGCACGGTAGAAAATGGACATGTACTAGCAGACCATTAATTTCAGTAGGCTTGAATTATAGGTGTACATTTTAAATAAAAATTGTCAATCAAAAATTGTCAAGTTCTGACATCCAGAGCATTAATAATATACATGTACTATAACTTTATCAAGGGGTGTAACTATACTAGATTTCCACACTAATACATGTATTGCTGAAGTTAAATTGGTTTCTATGCCTCACCAATGGAGCGGTAATAAAATATCATATCCCCAAGAATCAATAAATAGGCAAGAAAACTACATGCACACAAGCTACATGTACAAATAATTATCAAAAATTAATGACAAACAATGGTCATCTTCATCCTTCTAAAGTAAACAATACAACTTTTTTTTCCACTAAGATTCGATAATTTGTATCAACATGCCCCCAGAAGGGTTCATCCCACATATATCATGATAGAATGGTGCGTACATAGGCATGAGTCTTTCATGTTTCATGAGTGATTTCGCTCCTGCTCCTCTCATCGCACCTCGACTTTCGTTCACAGGAGCCATTAAAGAATCCGGCAAATTAGCTAAATCGCTCTCCTAAATATTGAGAATAATAAACTACTTTCAGTTTTTGTTTATTTTTAAACTGCATACATTCGAGCTGTCAGTTTCCATGATGATAATTCCTATGTAACCATATTCACCAAATAAAATATTAAACAAGACTAAAACATAAATACAATTTGGCTCTCCTTAATTCAAGAGAATGTATAAATACTCTTGCAACTTTTTTCTCATTTTTGAAATTGGTAGGAGGTTTTTGTGGCTCCCGCGCAATTTTACAACAGTGAAGGACTGCATAGGAATGACCAAACACTGAACATAACAGTGACAGATTTTTAAAGGTAGATTTAGGACCAAACTTCTTTACAAAATGTTTTGTCATCCAGATACAAGTACATTTATTATATCATATACACTATGCATCAAGCATTTGGACCTGATTTTGGTGAACGCAGTGTTTTACTGGCACGATTTGCTAAGACGAAGAATCATGGTGAAACCACCATGCCTAATTGCTGGCATGTCAAATCCCTACACGTAGCGGATGCTGATATTGCCACAATTGCTCGGGTGCCGTAGGACGATGTACATCATAGTCTCTTACATTTGTACATGTATACAGTAGGACAATAATAAAGCTTTTCATTGAATTATCAGGGGAAGACACTCTTTGATATTTTGTTGATATTCTGGTGCTTTGGTCAATTGGAAATGAAATGGAATTTAACGTCCTACTGTTCTGCTCCGACTTGGCTAATCAAAAACAGGCATACACCATACAATGTGCTATGAGGGTATCAAATTTCAACTGCCTGGGGATCTGTTACGTGCATGATAATGTGTACACAGGACCATGATTTTTCATCCCATCCAAATGACTAGACAGCTGTCTTTATCAGGCCCTCCGTCCTGCACCATTGAAATGGGGAAACCAAATGAACTTTCTCTGCCAATGCTGGGATCGAACATGCTGCTCAATTAGAACACCTTCATAAATACATTTGTGGGGAAATTAAAAAATTAATGACAAAATCAAATTGTTTGGAATGATACGAGAAACAGTTTCGCTTGTGTATAGGGGTATTTAGCAGTGGGAGGAAACCAGAGAAACCCATGAGGTTGCCACTTGACTTAATGGCAGACCTTGTGATCTAAACTTTAGATTTTAAAGCACAAGTGTTGGACCATTCAGCAACCCAACCTCTCGCTCAATAAAGACAGCAATACTTACATTTTCACAAACTGTTTTTTCATGTGCAGACTTGATTATTGATTCTCTATTAAAAGTAATGGCATTCAAAGTTCCCAATGCTATTTGGTTGACTTGTAAACAACTATGGTGGCTTCCACTGAACTCAAGATAAATGAATTTCATAGTGTCTGAAAAAAGCAGAACAAATTTATTGAAAATATATCAAGGAAAAATGAGGTCACTGATTCTGAAAATTAAAACCCGATAATAAAACATTTATAAAATTTATAATGCAATTAGAGGTACATGTAAGTTTATACTAATTAAATCTTTTGTCGATAACTCTGAAAGGGGTAATATTTTGAATCCACAATGGGTAAAGGAGATTATGTATATACATGTACATTCTGGAGCCTAAAATAAACAGTAAAATGTCTTAAAGTAGCCAAGTCTCTAACTCAATATCATCCAAAATCTTCAACATTCAAAACGCGAATTATTTGTCAATTTAAATCAACATTGATGTTGTGGTCTTACCGGGAAAAGATGGGCCTCTGATATCCAATATATAAGACAAAATAAACATTTTACCTATGGTACACGAATCGTGTACCATAATGCGTTTCAGAGCCATTTGTAACGGGAACTCGGAAAACCAGGCAAAGCTTATTCAACAAGTCATGTCAAACGGTGACATCATATTCTTATCTGGAGAGCATGCGCAATAAATACTATCGGTGTAGACTGGAATAACCAGACCCTAGAGATTTCAATTCGATTGAGACTTCTGGCGTATTTTGCCGAACATAACTGATTAGAAATTAGAGTAAAAAAAGAAACTATTTAATGTAAATCAGTTTATATACATTCATATTACATTATCATATGTGTTGCGACCCATTTGTGTCAATTTCTAGATAAAAAATATTAGCGATTTAGCTCCTTTAAGTTCACTGTTTCTGTGAGCTGAAACTTATAGGAACTTTCTTTTCTTTAAATAACTGCTGGTGAGTGGAATCAAGTGATCAAGTAACACCTACATGTATGTTAAAGAAGCATTATATTTAGATAAGAACTGACCATTCTTGCTATAACAGTTCAAAATAGATAAGAAAATGAATAACGCTCTCTGAATGTTCATCACACTAGAGCATTGGTTATTTGACACACTGATACATGAACCTGTGGATAATAACATTGAGTAATAGCCTACCCCTGTAAGTTGGGGTTGGGTGCCAATGGTCTAATACATTCGCTTTTTTTTTTAATAAGACCTATCATTGAGTCAAGTATCGTGGTTTCCATCCCGTAGTAAGTGACCAAAGTAGGGTAGCCTGTCTAACCATGTGGGTTTTCTCTGGGTCCTCCAGTTTCCACCCACTGCTAAAGACTCCTATGCGCAAGCAAATTATTAAAATAAAATTGTACCATATGTACAAATGACCTAGTTTGTGTTGAGTGGATGTTTAACACCATTTCTCTCTTTCATCTTGGTGTTAATAAATGAAATAGCAATCTATCTACATGTACTCTAGGTACATGTCATGTACTGTAGGTATTTGAACCTTAACAGCAGTTATTTCAAAGCAGTCATTAAAGACACCTTCCTGCATACAAACTAGGTGATTTGACGATATATTTGGATTAAAAACATATTCAAACTACCGGTAATTAATCTATCAAAATTTTGCTCCAAATCCTTCTCAAAATATTGTTTTCGCACAGGAATATCCCTGCTAAAAAAAAATCTATTAAAAGAAGTCAATCTATCTAATAGCATTTATTTCAATGCAGTTATTAAGATTTAAATAAAAAAACCCAAAAAACATCTGAAGTAATAAAAGAGAAATACACAAAAACAATACCCCATTTCAAATACATTCATTTACATACATGTAATGTGTCTGTCTGATCATGATGTATCGATGTACATTGTATATGTAATATAGGCTACAAGAACAATATGGTAAATTATACAATGTATATGCTTCTTTATACACTTCTTTGGCTATAACATGAGGTGGATCAAGCATAGATGTAACAGGGAGAGAGAGAGAAATGGGGTTTAAGATCCACTCGACACAAACTAGGTCATTTCAGGACTAACACATGGTTCAATTTTATTTTAATAATTCACTTGCGCATAGGGTTCTTTTGCAGTGGGAGGAAACCAGAGGACCCAGAGAAAACCCACAAGGTTGGACAGGCGACCCTACTCCTTGTCACATACAACTGGGGAATCGAAAACATGCCAGTTGACTCAATGACAGATCTTATGATACAGCGTGCACATGCTAACCATTCGGCCATCCATCCCCCTTAGATGTAACGGAAAGTGAAATGTACACAGCTGACCCAACACACACACACACAAAGAGCAAGGTAAATGTCCATGCGACACAAACTAGATCATTTCAGGATTAACATAGGGTACAATTTTATTTCAATAATAGTGGGAGTTGGAGACCTCAGAGAAAACCCACAAGGTTGGGCAGACAACTCAACTCCTTGTCATGTACATGCACAAGCTTGTGATCAAGACCACATCAATGACAGACCTTATGATTTAAGGTGCATGTGTTAGACCATTTGAACACCCAAACTTTACCCATGATACATGTACGTACATGTGTACATGTACAAGTACATGTCTGTACATACTTTATATGTATTTCAGCAAAATGATGACAGTCAATTTACCATTAAATCCTCATTAAAGACCTGGGCCCTTATACACGAAAACTACATGTAAGTTACAACCGAAATTTTAAGAAATACTGCAACTTCATTGGATATATGCAAATTGATTTTACTGGTCAGCCAATCGAATTGCAGTATTTCTTAAAATTTTGATTGTATCTTACTTTAAGTTTTCTTGAATAAGGGCCCTGGGCTCTGTTTCTCGAAATCTTAACTAAAGATAAAATCCAAATTTTAGCAGATACTTCAATTTTGATTGGCTAAGCACTAAAATCAATCTAATATTATCCAATCAAATTACTAAAATTTAGATTTTATCTTAGTTAAAATTTCATGAAACAGCCCCCAGGATTTATACACAAACATACTTTTTGCAAATAATGTCACAGGTGAGCATAATTTTGTGTAGAAGGTAGGGTATGCTCACTCTATCTGAAACATCTGTTATTACTACCATCTTAAATACATTTAAGTCCATTATATCAATTAAAGGGGAATTAAGGGAGATTACATAAAGAGTTAACAGTTCTTGCGATAATAGTTAAAAAAATAGGTAACATAAATAGAATATGCTGAAAATTTCAGTCAAATTGCTCCACTCTGAACCGAGATATTAGCTTTTGAATTTTAGGCTAGTCGGTATGATACATGTAAACAACAAAGTCTCGATTATCCAATTTCATGTTTAATTATTTATCAAAAAATGTATCTCAATCCGCTAAATCGCAGGCTAGCGATGCGATCGCGAGTTGATTATGGTCTGGATAAGTTAATTAATGTCTAATTTATAATGTAGATAACATTTCAGGTCTAAAGAAAGACGTGCAATAGGCAGATTTAGTTCTTGCATAATGTATGTTTAATCTGGTTAACGTCTACCTGGTTGGTAAACATACATGTATCATTGATTTTATACATGTAATTGTCAGATAGTGTATTCTGAGGATTACTGAAGAAGAAACACAAAGTAGTGACAGGTCCAATGCACAAAGGTAGTGTATGTTTCTAATATCCAACAAACCCCTTCTGCATATTAGTGTGATGTTAGAAACTGCTTACATGAAATATACTCCACAACTATTGTTTTTATGTATTATAAACCTGTAACAGTAAATCTCTTTGATCTTTGGGGTCTATGCCCAAAATAACTTGCGGTCTGAAAGGCGGGGGCGGCTTTGGATATATACAGGGAAATTTGGGGTTATTCTTCTGAAAGTGTTTCTTTAAACCTGTACCGGGTTATTCTTCCTTTTTTCCCATAAGAAAACATGATATAAGGTTTTTCTTGTGGGAATTCTGGGATATTCTCATCTTGCGTACATGTAAACATAGATGGTTTATAAGCAAGATAAATTCCTCGACTTCGGTTATGCTGGGGAAGAAAGACTTCAGAAAAAACCCTCGACAGAAAAACCACGGCCTACCGGCCTGGGTTTTTCTTTTTCTCAGGTTATTTTCTTCAGTCTTTCTTTCCCCAGCGTAACCTCAGTCTCGTGCTTTATCCTACACTTAATCACTCAAGTGTATTTTGATTACCCTTCGGGTTCAATGGTACATATATCATCATATTTTTTGTATCATGTACTAAAATACTTTGCGACGACACCCTTTTCTATTTCCATCACTTTTACATTCCATCATTTTTATATTTCTTCCTACTTTCTATTAGGGTTAGGATTAGGATTAGGGTTAGGGTAAGGGAATTTACCATGGAAGAACCAATCTTCTTTTCACTTACATGTACCTACTTGTTATTTAATGAAATATTGAGCCACAAAAATGGGAGTCACAAACATGAATGCCAAATACTTTTTCGGAGCTACATTAGATAGACAGAGAGAATGGGGTATAACTTCACTCGATACAAACTATGTCATTTTGGGGCTAACATACATGTATGAATGGCACTATTTTATTTCCATAATTCTCTTAACACCAAGAGGATACCAGAGGACACGGTCTACACAGAGCAAACCAATGAGTTTGTACAAGTACATGTACAAGCTTGAGATTGCAACCACACAATTTTACTCAATTATGGACCGTATGGTCTAAAACACATGCGTTAGACCACTCAACCAATGCACCCAACTCAGCCTTACTACATTAGATAGAATCTGTCTACCTATTTTTTTCTTACATTATACATGTACCTGACATCAGGTAACCTAGATGTTCACTGCACCTGCTAGTGCGAGTGATGAACTGATTCCAAGAATTTGACAATTATATGCAATATGGAACCCCATATTTATATTTTAAAAGATCCATTGTATTAAAATCCAGGCCTGCAATCCACAATCTTTTCAAGGTGGGTATAGTTTCAAAATTCCTAAAATCCACTTTGAATAAAACATATAATTGTTAGACCAGTGTCATCTAACAGTACATTATTACATTAATATTTTTGCTTTATGGTAAGAACCATTTGTTATGGACTTATAAAAATTAATCACTAATTAATTTAATTGATGACAATTTCATGTCAAGTTATGAAAATTACATCATCATAGACAATAATAGATGACCTACGTGAGGACATTTGACAAACTTGTTTACAATTATCTTACCAATGATGAATCATGTTGAGTCAGTGTTTATCAGGAATTGTATCATCTTCACCGAGTAGACCTTGTCATGGAATGTTAGCTGTCAAGTCTGTATACCTTAGTGACGTGTTCGGTTATTTTTAGAACAAGATTTCGACATACATGTTAGTAAACGTATACCTATGGCATTATGCTTATGGAAATATTTGATAACGTTGATGTTCCGAAACATTGTATATAATTGTGTGAGAATATTATAGTAATTAAAAGAATACTTACGGAATTTCTACACAATGTTGACATATTGCGGTTTATATACTCATAAACAGTAGTAGAAATATCCACAACTAGCAGCGGAAGAACACAATGGAGCAAGCCCCACCTGTTATGGGTATTCCAACCAGAAATATTACTCCCTCGTTTTATCCGCAGTATATGAAAAGTAAGCTTAAATTATATTGTTTAACCAAATCAAGGTTGCAACCAATATCATATTGGCATAAATAACCATTACATTCAACTACTTCAATTTTTATAATATCCCGTCCCTGATTTCAGACTAATTTCGTTTAAATTGGAGAACGAATAATGAAAGCAACAGCTGATCTCGTGACCAATCGATTGCCGCGTATTCTCGAATAACAAGCCCGTTTATTAATAATTTATAGGCGAGATTGTCAAGTGGAACTCCAGAGAAAATTACAGTGATAAACCAGGGTCGTAAGGAAATTAATGCCATAAATTTGATTATAAATTATAAATATTTAACCGACTGATAGGAAAACTGGGTCATAAATCGATGACTCTAAACAAGTTATTTTAAATATGGATATAGATCCAAAATATTACTCATACCTATCCAAATCTATACTAAATTTCTTATTTTTCTATACTCAAATTCATATAAATTTTAAATCCAACCGTAATACATTTTATTATTATTCATTATAGTTTTTCCACATGGGCCAATGTTTATCTCATTTCATATTTAAAACGTGCTCATCCATATATCGATTCCATGTCAACCCTATGGAGCCCGGTGAGGGATTCAAAATAATATATATATATATATATATATATCAACATTCAACTTTTTTATTTGCATATACATCGGACTATACGCGTATAGGGGCACGCTATACGCGTATACATGGTATCGTGCAAGTACGTTTTTTTTCGGCGTATACTTGCTTCAGGGAGGAGTAAATTCCATGGGATGAGTACAAAATGGGGCATTTGTGTTGTAAAAAGTTCGAATCAAACGTTCTGAACATTGATGGACATATCTCTAGGCATGGTAGACTATATATATATATATATACTATTCAAAAAAAGTAGGGGATATTTGATTTTTAAGTGTTATTAAAGTCACCTTATGAAACTGACGAAGAAACAAATGACAAAATGAAATGAAGTTCACATTCATCGATTTATTCCAAATGATCGTTAGACTAAGTAAGGCACAGACTGACCATTATAAGGGTAAAATGATACCCGGGGTCAAACAGCAAAGTTACCACAGCATCACAACCAAGTCAGTAACGGGTAAATCCTCCTCTGTTTGCCAAACAAGCATTGATCCGACGTGGCATACTCCTAATGAGACGTCTAAGGTCATTTTGGTCCAGATTGTCCCATTCCTGTTGCAACGCAGCAGCAAGTTCTTGGACATTGGCAGGACGTTGTTGACGTTGACGTAACCTCTGTCCAAGCATGTCCCAGACATGCTCGATGGGGGAGAGGTCGGGACTCAGTGCTGGCCAAGGTAATGTGGTGATGTTCTGTTGTTGGAGGTAACCTGTAACGATCCTGGCCCTGTGACATCTTGCGTTGTCATCCTGGAAGATGAAACGGCGGCCATGACGTCGTGCGAACGGCACAACATGGACTGCCAAGATGTTGTCCCGGTAGTACTGGCCTGTAACACGCCCTGCAACAACATGTAAAGCCGTTCTTCCAGCAACAGTGATGCCTCCCCACACCATAACAGAACCACCCCCAAATCGATCATGTCTGATGACGTTAACGTCTTGGAAGCGCTCGTTTCGACGACGCCACACCCTCCTACGTCTGTCCAAAAAATCAACAGTGAACCTTGACTCATCTGAAAACATCACTTTGCTTCAGCGTCGATTATCCCAGTGTTGACGATCCCTACACCAACGACGTCTTGCCTGAATGTGATGATCTCTCAAACAAGGGATCACGCGAGGACGTCGGGCGCGAAGGTGACCCCTATGCAGTCGATTCCGAATCGTCTGGCCACTCACTCTCACACCAGTGTCTGTTTGAAGACGAGCGCTGATCTGATTTGCTGTGATGACACGATTTCTCAAGGCCAAGGTACGGATAAATCTATCCTGGGCTTGAGTTGTCGCCCTTGGTCGACCTGAGCGTGGTCTGTCCTGTACAGATTGTGTATCACGGTATCTGGACCATAGCCTGCTTATGACAGACTGAGAAACATTCATCGTCCGCGCCACAACCGCCTGTGTTGTGCCGATCTGTAGCATGCCAAGGGCACGTAACCTTTCATTTTGGGTAAGCCGACGCATATAAAAATTTGTTTTCTGGTCACTAAAACAATTAAACTGATGTTTCCACCCTGGAATTCAATGCCACAATGACTGTAACATTCAAAGTCAGAGTCGTGCAAATCTTGGGTTGGACCCCCATGATGATCCCAAGCATCACCTGCATTCCATGCGGTAGCTATTGGTGCGTTTGGGCGTCACATGTAACTGGAAATGTTTCTTCTGTTAGGTTCTATAGTGACTTTTTTCGTAGTCATTTGCATAATTTAGTATTATGCCCCCAAAATCAAATATCCCCTACTTTTTTTGAATAGTATATATATATATTCTAGATTATCATGAACAGTGATCTCCAGTTATTCCCCCCCCCCTTAAATATTGAAATGAGCCGACTCAAAGCCTGACCTTCATGCCACCATACTTTACTCCTCCGCAAGTAAAATTCAAGTCAGAGTTTCCTCTTCTTCTGAATCCATATGAATGAGCCTCGATGAGGGTACCAAAATCGGTTGGGAAAATAACTGACCAGGCCAGTATACCTACGTATAGTATATATGCCGTGTAAACCGCCGTGCCCGTATACTCCTATGTAATAGCAGCCTAAAGAACATTATACAAAACATACGCATACATCAATATACATGTATATAAAAATATATTTTACTTGGAATAATATATTGGAATAACATGATATAATATCTGGCGCGCATAGTATTATCTGCGCGTGCTAGTTATTATCCGGGGCGCAACTATTAACTAGTTATCTATAACTATAATAACTAGCGTGGGTGGTACTTTTTACCGCCGACCACCGCCGACTAATACTTTTACCGCCGACCGTCGTGAAATTACCGCCGACCAAATACTTTTTACCGCCGACCGCACTGTAATGACTTTCGATCGTAATATATAATTACCGCCGACCAAATGCTTAATGATTCCTTGTTACCGCCGACTATATAAAATTAATTAAATTATTAGTGACAAAAAAATAGATTTGGTTAAATACACAGAGTTTGATAAAAATATAGATTTTATTATATATAAATATGGTCGACAACCCTAACCCTAACCCTCGCACTAATAGAAGATAGGCCTAAAATGTTATTTTTTTATAACCAGTAGCTGAAACAATCTTCATATATTTGCCCTTCAATATCTAAATTGTAGTTTTGTCCTTCCATATTCTTTAAAATATATATTAATGTTTTTCGACAGATGTACGTGATTAAACCTCAAATAAAAAATAACATTCTTGTTGTATTCATTTTTATAAAAAAAAAACAACCGTAAAATAGTTGGCGGTAACAGGTAATCATTAAGCATTTGGTCGGGGGTAACAAGTATACACTGTAAATCCAACGGACGCCTTTCTGAATGTGTTCTTATTAGAACATTTTGCGTTGAAATGTGAACACGTTAATGTTCACATATGAACACCGCAGTTCTAAAACGTACGCAAATCCTTAAAATCCGTTAAAAATTGAACACATTGTGTTCTTTTTCCTTTCAATGGTCTTTGAAATCGTTCACACTTAGAACACAACGGACGCAGAAGACCAGTAAGGAACGCATGGTGTTCAGTGGGTGTTCATACCGGAACATCAAGTTGGACACCATGTGTTCAAGTTCAACATCGGACATGCACACGACGCATCACGTGATGCGGGTTATTTTCAAAATCGCCATTTGCAGGACGCTGGTTTGACTTTAAGGCTCTGACTGTTTCAACAACTGTTATTTAAGGTAAAGTATTGTTGTTGTTTTTTCAGGGGGGGTGGATGGCTGAATGGTTAGCGTGCGCGCGCTGTATCATAAAGTCTGTCATTGAGTCGACTGGCATGGTTTCGAATCCCCGGTTGTACGTGACAAGGAGTAGGATCGCCTGTCCAACCTCGTGGGTTTTTTCCGGGTCCTCCGGTTTCCTCCCACTGCTAAAGACCCCTACGCGCAAGCGAATTATTGAAATAAAATTAAAACCATACGTTAGTCCCGAAATGACCTAGTTTGTGTTGAGTGGACGTTAAACCCCATTTCTCTCTCTCTCTCTCTCTCTCTCTCTCTCTCTCTGTTGTTTTTTCTAATAAGGTAGATAAGTTGTTTCAAAAGTAACAGTGAAACTTAGATATATGAATTTGGAAGTAGAAATATGAATTTAGGTTATGTTGCTAGATTAACAATCTAGGCCTGTATAAACTACTAGGCCTGGCCCTAGACCTGTGTTCCCAAATCAACTCGTAAACCCTCGTCAAGCATATTAATTTGTGTTAATAAATTATTTCCTCTTATCAAAAAGCGCATGTATTAGAGATTTTTGGTCGAATTTGACAAATTATTTTCTTCTTCCATTTGTTTGAACACATGGTGTTCCTTATAGAACATATTCTGTTATATACGTGCCAGCGTCTTGCTCACTGATCGTTTTATATGCTCCCGTTTTACTAATGATTTAATAACAATGCCAATGACAGTGGAATGTTTATATGGAGACGTGGGTTTTCTTCGGGCCCTCCAGTTTCCTTCCGCTGCTAAAAAAATCCCTAATTTCGCGCATGCCCCCGCCCATGTTCTCACACACTGATTTGAACTCTTTATATTATTATAAGAGTTTATATTCCATATCCTTTGTCATAGGCATTATCCGATTCGTGAATATTAGAGATACGTACATTATGTAAAAGCTAATAAATGTATTATATATTATGATATTTTCAGAATTCGAGAAAATGATAAGGTCATAAGGTCTGTCATTGAGTCAAGTGGCGTGATTTCGATTGCTCTCTTGTACGTGGCAAGTAGTAGCGTCGTCTGTCCAACT